ACTAAAACCCACTGAATCATACATGTTAAAAGTGAACTTTATGGTCTATGGTATGTGACTATTATCTTAATAATATAGGTAAAGAAAAACAAACAAACAAAAAGTACACAGAAGAAAAGCTGGCCATAAGGACAAGCTAAGATTTTTAATGACAGAGAACTTACCCCAGACAAATTATATTCAATAAGAAATATAGAACAATGCAGGCAACAAAACAGTGGACTTCATTCATCCATTCAGAATTAACTTATTGAGTACCAATTCTGCTCCAAGTCTATTTTAGGATCTAGGACTATGGACAAGGCAAAAATATGGTCTCTCCCTTCAAGGATATCACTGTTTAGAAATAGACAAGGAAACAGGCGATCTCAATATAACATGATAAGTGCTATGAGAATCAAATATTGAGAACATGGGAATTCAGAGAAGCAGCACCTGCCCTAGTGACAGCCAACAGAAGCTTTCTGGATGATATTTAATATGAGCTCAATTTTGAAAAATAAACAGGGTTTAGCTAAATTTAGGTGGTAGCAGTAGTGGGTAAGGGGCAATGGTAGAAATGGGCATTACAACAAAACAGAATAAGCTCAAGACTGTGAGAGAGGAGGGACTGGGCAAAATGGCATAGATAATAGAGGCATTGTTCATTTCTTTTGCGACCACATCAAAGTTGTGACAGAAACATGGAGCAAACAGCAAGCACAGTTGCCTGGGGTCTAGATGAACAGAAACCCTACAACTATGTAGAGAAATAAGAAATCACCCTGCAACGGTAGAAGGTAGGTTAGGGAGCAGATGTGAGGCTGCCTAGTCCTGAGTGGCTGAGTAGGACAGAGGCTATAGCAGCAGTGGCAGCTGGCAGCTGCAGACGTTTATCTTAAGGGGGCCATGTACAAGAGTAGACTTTCACAATGATGCATTCGCTCACTCTGAGCACCAGCATCATGTTGGCTGCTCAGGGGGCACCAGGGACTTACAGGGAGACACTGAGTTGTTGGAGGGCTGGAGGTGAGTTTTCTCCTGGGCAGAAGTACTGGCAGTATCCATTGTTCCTCTGTTGAGCCCTCAGCCCTCCCAGTGTACAGATGCAGTGCCGCCATAGCTAGGACGTCTTGAAACTGGATAACAGAGGTTACTCTACCCGGAAGATGCCCTGAAACTCTGCCTCCCCCAACTCCTGGCCCTACCCAAGCCACATCCAATTGTGTCATCTATGTACCCTGGGCCCCTTGCTGAGCAGGTTCAAGACCCATACTGGTGGCAGCTGGCCTCAGTTTCTGGCATAGCCTCTTGAGGTAACTATAAGCACAACATTTGTGGATTGCTTGCTGAATCTTAACAGGTTGCCCTGGAGTAGCATAGGCTGTGGCTAAACTTGGCCTGCAGATGAACCCCTTTCAGGACTGTGCCCCTGGATACCTACTACACAAAACCATGCTAATAAGACCAGGAGAATTAGAAGCTTTGCTTAGTATTTAGGAACAGACACAGAAAGCAGCCAAAATGGGAAGACAAAGAAGAAGAAATGATGTGAGAGAACAGAAGAGAGATCCAGGAAATATGGAGTCAAGCAATCTACCAGATGCAGAGTTCAAAACACTGGTCATAAAGATGCTCAATGAACTTAGAGAAAGTGTAGATGAATTCAGTGAGAACCTTAACAGAGAGATAAAAAATAAGTGGAAATGGAAATTATAAAAGAGAACCAATCAGAAATGAAGTATACATTATCTGAGATGAAGAGTATATTAGAGAGAATGAAGAGTATATTAGAGAGTATGAAGAGTATATTAGAGGGAATCAGGTGAATGGATGAAAAAGAGGATCAAGCCACCTATATAGATGGAGAAGCCAAGGACACTCAATCAGAATGGCAAATAGAAGAAGCCAAGAATATGATAATAATTTAAGAAGCCTATGGGCCAAAATTATATGTAGCAATATTTTTGTCATATTTTTGAGCCCTCAGCCCTCCCAGGAAACTCAGAAAGTCCCCCAAAATGATGAACCCAAAAAGGCCCACACCAAAACACGTCATAACTAAAATGCCAAAGTTTAATACATAGAGAGAATCTTAAAAGCAACAAGAGAAAAGCAGTTATCTACAAGGGAGCACCCATAAGATTAGCAGCTTATTTCTCAAAAGAAACTTCACAGGACAAAAGGGCTTGGCACAAAATATTCAAAGTGATGAAAACCTAGAATCTACAACCAAGAATACTTTATCCAGCAAAGCTATAATTTGAAATCGAAGGTCAGATAAAGCACTTCCTAGACAAAAATAAGCCAAAGGAGTTTATTAACACCAAGCCAGTATGACAGGAAATGTTGGAGAAACTTAAGAAGAAAAACATGTATCAAAAACAGAAGCAAAGAATGTCAATAACTACATATCTATCAACGAATACCTCAAATGGAGAAGAATTAAGTGTTCTAACCAAAGGATACAGTGGCTGAATGGATAAGAAAACAAATGCTGCCTACAAGAGACTCACTTCATACTAAAAGACACACACAGACTAAAAGGAAGGGCATAGAAAAAGATATTGCCTTGATGGACCTAGAGGGTATTGCTTTAAATGAAAAAAGTCTGACAGAGAAAGACAAATATCACATGATTTCATGTTCATGTGGAATCTAAAGAACAAAATAAGTAACAACAGCAAAAATGGAGACAAACTCATAGATACAGAGAATAGTTTGAAGACTACTAGATGGGAGGGGAGTTGAAAGGATGGTGAAAAAGGGAAAATAGATTAAGAAGCACAAATGGATAGTTTACAAAATAGTCATGGAGATGAAAAGTGTAGCATAAGGAAAATAGTCAACACTGTTATAATAAATATGTAAGGAGAAGAGAGATACTAAATTTAGTGGGGTGATCATTTGTGAGTTATATAGATCTCTAATCACTATGCTGTACAACTGAAATTAATATATTATTGTATGACAACTATAATTTTAAAAACTCATGGAATTGTAGAATGTAACTATGAGCAAGTAATTGTCTATTATATTTCAATAAAGCTGAAAAAAGAGTATGAGAGAGAAAGAATAATATATTCATGGAACTGCAAGGGATTCAAGGTGACTGGAGTAAAGGGTGCATATGAAGACATGGTGAGTAATGGAACTGGAGAAGTTGGGGGTGCCAGCTCATGAAGAACCCTGCGCGCTAAGCTAAAAAGTATGAGCCAAAAGCATGCCTCACAAGACATGATTCCCCAATGGGAAAAGCCCCAAAGACTTTAAAAATTGTTATATATCCTCCTCTTCAGGAATATAACTTTTTCAAATATCTACTTTCTCTAGCTTATGTCCTTTGGGCACTAGATATCTTGATTTTCTCAGTGACTCCATTTATTATGGAGACAAAGGCAAATGTCAATTTATGGAGCCTTGTGGCAATAGTAAAGACACTGGAGACTGGAATTCTCAAGAGGACCACAGCTCTTGACTTTTGCCAGGAGTATCTGTCCTGATGCCAGGAAAAGGACAGGTCTGTCTTAGTTTTTGTGTCTCTTTATGCACTTTATGGAATCACTTATGTCTGAGAATAATGCTGCTTTCTTGTTAGGCATTTTGCTAATGCCTGCTGTGGTCTCCTATCCCCTTTTCTCATTTATTCAAGAGATTGAGGCCTCAACTATTTCAGCACTTAGGTTTTGAAATAAGGCTTTGTGTGTCATTTTATGGTAACAGAAAAATAGAAGGAAGCTGATGAGATGGAGCCAGTCTTATGGAAATAAACAGCATTGTGCATTTTCTAATTAAGAACACTACCTTGCCAATGGGGATCAAGTGTGAAAACAATTAGAAGGCTTAAAAAACAGCATTATAGGTTGAGTGTACAACACAGTCTCTAAAGCATTAAAACTGGCAATTCTTTTAAAAAGTAGAGTGATAATTTGGGGCTCGACACCCTATACATTTTTCCCACTTAAGAGGCACAATAGGTCTTGTCCTCTGCTTTCAGTTTTCCTGCTTACTACCTGCTTGACCAGTAACCGAATCTGACTACTATTACCCACTCTCTCAACTTTTGGAACACTTTTCCATTTAACTTCCAGGGAGTGTCCACTCTCCTGGATTTCCTCATATCCCCTTGCCCATTCCTTTTTAGTCTGGTTTGCCATTTCTCCTCTGTTCAACCCCTAAATATTGAGGGCCTCAGGTTTTGGCACTAGTTCTCCTCTTTTCTATATGACACATTCTCCCTAGGTGAGCTTATCCAATCGTATGGCTTTGATATTGTCTATTACCTAATGACTCTCAAATTATACCTTTATATTTTTTTCTCTAAGCTAGCAAAGTATTCAGTTTATTTAGATCTTGTACTTAAACATATTAAAAGTTACAAAGCCTAAGATAAGCAACCAAGAAGTAAATAAAATCACAACTTAGTATTCTAACATTTTCACTTGCTATCATTGACTATGAAATGCAAAAACAAACAAACAAAAACCAAAACTATAAATGTTTAAGTGGGATGATCTCCGAAAATTACACTAGTGTGACCAAACAAATGATCACATACTATGGAATACTACAGAACATGAGTAAGTTGTTGCTCTCCAGGACATAAGAACTAATAACTAATTTACCCATCATATTGGTGGCGACGGGGGTAGAGGGTGGAGTATGGATTAGGAGGCTCTACATGTAGATTAAAAAAATTCCAATTAAAATATCTTAAACTATTTTAAACATTTATTTAATATTGGAAAGGTAGTCAACTATCATAAAGTATTTCTCTTTATCAAAAGTTCCACATATTAAGGATTTATGCAATCCAGGGGGAAAAAAACTAGAAATATGTTGTTGCCTGAGCAAGTAATCTTCTAAAAAGTCTCTCCAAAATCTTGACTAGAAGTGTCATACTCTGCGATGAAATGCTTCAATTCTTCAACACACCGCTGACCTATTTCATATAAATTCTGTTTCAGTGCAAACTGTATAGGCTTTTCTAATGAAGGATCTTCTAAAAAGGAAGTAATCTTCTAAAAAGTCTCTCCAAAATCTTGACTAGAAGTGTCATACTCTGCGATGAAATGCTTCAATTCTTCAACACACCGCTGACCCATTTCATATAAATTCTGTCTCAGTGCAAACTGTATAGGCTTTTCTAGTGAAGGATCTTTTTCAACCAACATTTTTACAACCATCGCGAAAGTTTCACAGTCCTGTTGGTAAACTTGTTCGATCATTTTGGTTTTTGCTGCTATTGCTTTATAGCGACTGCTTAGCCGACCGTCTTCAAATAATTCTATGCCATCTGTTGTTTTTGACTCAGGTCTTTCTGGCTGGTCAATGAACAGTGGTGCCGTGGATCCCGCCTTGTCATACTCATAAATTTCAGGTACGTTACTTTCACCTGCCTTCTCTAGCTTTTCAGCAGCCCACTTGCTTGCAGCATCAGTAAGTGACTTTTCGGTTACCCTACTGGGTTTGTCTAACACCTTTGATGAAGGTACCGCTGAAGAATTTGACGATGCGCATCTTGATGTTTTCGAAGAATGAACAGGTCTTTCTTTACTTCTATCCTGAGACCGATGGAAAAAGGAAGTTTTGCTTCTTCCTGACGAGTAGCTCCTACTATTGACACTGGAGCGAGATCTGGGGTCCTTTTGACCCACGGGAGAGCCTCTGAAAAAAGGCTCCTTTCGACCAGCGGGAGAGCCTCTGAAAAAAGGCTCCTTTCGACCAACGGGAGAGCCTCTGAAAAAAGGCTCCTTTCGACCAATGGGAGAGCCTCTGAAAAAAGGCTCCTTTCGACCAACCGGAGAGCCTCTGAAAAAAGGAATTTCTCTTTTATGAGGAGATCGGCCTCTCACATACCATGAACCGTAGAAACTTTTTCTTTTAAAGCCGCCTCTCATGCCCCTGTATCCAGGCTGACGACTTGAAGAGTGATCATCTCTTGACCAATTATAGCCAGATTTATCTCCTCTGTGAGGTGGACCACTTCTTCGATCACGAGAAAAACGGCGGCCGTCGCCATACTCTTGGTAATCAACATGGCGGTAATATCTACCGTAGAACCCTTCACCGGGTCTGTCTAGCAGTGGTTTCTTTGGCACAATATTAATTAGATTGCGGTAGCCTTCAATGGGGTGACTTTGAGGAGGTACTCGTTTTCGTGGAAGTCTTTCATAGTCACATCGTCCCTCAGACCACATTTCATCACTTCCGTAAGCCGATCTTGGGCGGTAACCAAGGATAACCGGGATCTGAAACATGGTAGTTTCGGCAGGCCACAAATTTGCCAAAAGAATTAGTCCCAGCTGTCCTTTGTGGACGCAGAAATTCAGCTGTGCCCTGGTTGGTTAGAGTCCTGGTCTGTGTGCGAAAGTCCGGACTACAGGAAGACGCAGTAAATGTGGCGGTCAGCTCGTCGCGGCTCTGGAGACAGGCAGTTGGGCGCGCGCAAGGACGTCAGAAAAAGCGCCGCCCTCCGAGGTCAGAGGCTAACGAGAGCCGGGAAGAGTCATTCCTGTTGCTACCTTCGCGCAGCGGCGCCTGACGCCTCCCGGTACCTGTGATGCCAAGACTACTGTGAGGGACGGTGAGGGACGGTGAGGGGCGGCGAGGGGCGGCGAGGGGCGGCGAGGGGCGGAGCAAGGGGCGGCAAGGGGCGGCGAGGGGCAGAAGAATCGGGGTTGAGCCCCAATTGACGAAATCCTATCTTTAGACGTAACCTGTGCTCCCCGTTGCAGTCTTGTACATCCAATTGCCTCTTTGCATGTCTGTTAGGAAGCTAGAACTTTATGTCCAAAACAAAACTTTTGATTTCTATCTTGACCCAAATCCTGCTTCTCTCCTAATCTCTCCCAACTCAGCTAATAACATCACTGCTTATCCAGTTGCTCAAGCTAAAAATCCTCTATTCCCCTCTTTTTCTTTCTTATCCATCAGCAATTTCTGTTGATTCTGCCTCCAAAGCACATGCTGAATCCTTCCATTGCTATTCATCGCCAGTGTTATTACTCTAATCAAAGCTGCCACTATCTCTCATTTTGAACTAGCTATTAACTAGTCTCCCGCTTCTACTCGTCCTCTCTACGGTCCACTCATCGCAGCAGTTTTTTAAATAATAATTTTTCATTTTTCACTTATAGTTGGGATACAATATTATATTAGTTTCAAGTGTACAACATAGTAATTAGAGATCTATATAACTCACAAAGTGATCGCCCCACTAAATCTAGTACCTAGCTGACACCAGACATATTTATTACAATATTTTTGACTATATTCCTTATGCTATACTTTATATATCCATGACTATTTTGTAATTACCCATTTGTACATCTTAATCCCATTCCCCCTTTTCACCAATGTCCCGCGACCCTCTCCCATCTGGTAACCCTCAAAATGTTCACTGTATCTATGAGTTTGTTTCTGTTTTATTTGTTTATTTTGTCCTTTAGATTCTACATGTATGTGAAATCATATGGCATTTGTCTTTATCTGACTTCACTCAGCACAATACCCTCTAGGTCCATCATGCAATATCTTTTCCCATCCCTTTACTTTTAGTCTCTGTGTGTCTTTTAATCTGAAATGAGTCTCTTGTAGGCAGCGTATGTCAGAGTCTTGTTTTCTTATCCATTCAGCCACCCCATCTTTTGATTGGAGCATTTATTCTTTTTCATTTAAATTATTTGTTGATAGATATGTAGTTATTGCCATTCTTTATTTAGGTTTATCTTTATTTGGGTTTATCTTTTTAAGGGCTCTCTGAGCTTCCTGCGGTTGTAAGTCTATTTCCTTCACCAGGTTAAGGAAGTTTTCCATCATTATTTTTTCAAATAGATTTTCAACGTCTTGCTCTCTCTTTTCTCCTTCTGGAACCCCTATGATGCAAATGTTGTTACACTTGATGTTGTCCCATAGTCTCCTTAAATTATCTTCATTTTTTTGGATTATTTTTTCTTGTTGCTGTTCTGATTGGATGTCCTCTGCTACCCCATCCTCTATATCTGTGAGTCAATCCTTCTCGTCATCCACTCTGTTGATTCCCTCTAATGTGCTCTTCATGTCAGATATTAGTCAGATAGTATATTCTTCATTTCTGACTGGTTCCCTTTTATAATTTCTATTTCCATTTTTATATTTTTAAAAATCTTTTTGTTAAAGTTCTCACCGAGTTCATCTATTCTTCCCATAAGTTCATCGAGCATCCTGATAACAAGTGTTTCGAATTCCGCTTATGGTAGATTGCTTGACTCCACTTCATTTAGATATTTTTCTGGTGCTCTGTTCTCTGCTCTCATGTGGGGCATGCTTCTTTGTCTCCTCCTTTTGGCTGCCTTTCTGTGTCTGTTTCTATGCATTATGTAAAGCTCCTAAGTCTCTCGGTCTTAGTAGTGTGGCTTTGTGCAGTTCAGTGGCACAGTCCTGAGAGGGGTCCAGCTGCAGGCCAAGTATAGTTGTAGCCTGTGCCCCTCTGGGGACACCTGGTAACAGTCAGCAAGCAATGCACAGATAGCTCCCACACATGCCATGCTTATAGTTACTTCAAGAGGCTAAACCAGAAACCAATGCTGGTTGCTCCCAGTGTGTGTCTTGGAGTACTGGTCACACCAAGGACACCACTGGATGTAGCTTGGGTAAGGCCACAAGTTTGGAGGGGTAGAGTTTCAGGGAGTCCTCTGGATGGAGTGACCTCTGTTATCTGGTTTGATGGTGGCTCAGCTATGGCAGCACCTGCATCTGCATGCTGGGAGGGCTCAATCAAGGATCAGTGGGTACCCCTCGCACTTCTTCCCAAGAGAGAGCCTCCCCTCCAGCACTCATCACGAAGCCCTACAACTCAGTGTCCCCCCATATGTACCTGGTGGCCCCCTGAGCAGCTGCCCCTAGCACTGGAGCTCAGGGCGAGCGAGTCCGTCACCATGAAAGTCCAGTCGTGGTTGCAGTCTCTTTGAGAGGAACATCTGCACCTGCCAGTTGCATCTGCTGTAGCCTCTGTCTCGCTCAGCACACATGGGACTAGGCAGTCTCGTGTCTCTGCCCCCTTCTATCATTCCAAGGTGATTTTTTAATTCTCTCCCTAGTTGTAGGGCTTCTGTTTATCCAGACCCCAGGTGACTTTTCTTGCTCTTTGCTCCATACTTTTGTCACAATTTTGGTGTGGTCGCAAGAGGAGATGTACAAAGCCTCTACCCTCTATGCCATCTTGACTGGGACCTCCAGGAGTTTATGTTTTAAAGTGCACACCAGGTTATGTTAGTCATCTGCTTAAAATCTTCCAGTAGTATCACTCCATATTTAGAATAAAATTCAAACTCCCTACCATGGTTTATAAGGCTCTATGTGATCTGACCACTGATTCCATCTTTCACTTAAGCTGTTATCACTCTTGCCTTGCTATTATATAACAGCCATACTGGACTATTTTTTTCTCTATAAAACACCACACTCATACCTGATTTAGGATTTTTGATTTTGCTATTCCCTTTGCCTAGAAGACTCTTCCCCTTCATGGGTTTGTTTTTGTAAATAAAGTTTTATTATAACACAGCCATGTTCATCTGTTTACTACTGACAATAGCTGCTTCTGTGCTACAGAAGGTAGAGTTCAGTAGTTGAGACATATCAAATGACCCACAAGCACTTTAAGCAAGTTTGCCAAACCTGGCTGAATCTTTGCATGGCTGTCTCCTTATTTAGGTTCTTGTGCTAATATCACTCCCTCATAGAGACATGCCCTCTCTCCCACCTCAGTCACTCTTTTACATCATCCTCTTCATTTCATCATAGCACATCTCTAAAATTATCTTATTTGTTTGATTGAATATTGTTTGTTCACTTCACTAGACTGTAAGTTTCTCTGTCATATTCCCTGCTGGATCCCTAGGTTCTGGCACTGTATCAGTCATACAATAGGTCCTCAATAAATATATGGTGTATAAATTAATATATGAATGTAGATAGGACATCAAGTTGTTTACAAAACAATGGTTCACGTTAGTACTTCATATACATATAGCCATAGAGTTTATTTAGATCTAGTTTATAAGATCTAGTTTGTATGCTCAAGGAAGAAAAAAACTCTCAAAATAAAGATACATGAACATTAAAAGATCAATGAAGAATCAATGT